CCTTTTTGTTTCACCTGGTTCCAGCTTTAGTTCACTCTTGTTTACCTTCCTGTTTAGTTGTCTACCTTGTCTTCACCTTACGACTTCACCGTTATTCTACCGTCTCTCTACCTTTATTTTACCTTCTATTCAAACCGGCACCTCCCTTTGTCTTCATGCATCGGACCTTCTAAGTTTAGGGCTTTGGGTCTATAGGGTTTAGGGTTTTAGGGTTAAAAGGCAAGCTCATAGGGTTTAAGGTTTGGGATTTATCGGGTTTAGGGTTCAGGGGAAGCACCCGCCCTGGCATGCCCACCAAAAAAAATGACTATGAGAATTCAGGGTGGGATGTAAAAACCTGGCAGGGCTGGACAAAGGAGCAGGATGGGACAGAGTGGAAAGGTGCCCCCAAACCCTAAAGCCTGAACCGTGAACCCGAAACCTTTCTGGTGACGCCAACCCGAAGGCAGCCTGCATGATTTGAAGGGGTCTCGATACAAACCGTATTTACATGGATCCTCGAACCGCGACGCACACATCCTTCAGCTGCTGAGACTGAAAATTGCGCGAATCTGCTGTAGGTTTCGGAGGGTTCTCAAATTTCGGCTTCATGGCTTTGGGGTTTTTGGTCCCAAAACCCTAAAGCCTCAAACATAAACCGTAACCCCTGCACCCTCAAACCCTGAACCCTAAACCCCTAAAGCAGGATCAGGTCTTTGGGCGGACCGTTCGCAGTGTGGTCACGGTTTAGGGTTTAGGGTTTAGGGATTTTGCGCAGTGTGGTCTTCATTCTTGGAATTCGACTCTTGTGGCCCCAAAGGTTACCTTGAAGGGGCTGGGGTCCCATAAGGAAATCAGACCCAGAGGCGCCATATATACTACCATTATGGAATTAGGTCCCTAAAGCCATAATAAGTATGGTCTTTTGGGACTTAGTCCCACAATGGTAGTATATATGGTGCCTCTAGGAGAACGATTCCTTTGTGGTTCAGATCCCAACTTTTCTACTCCTAGGGCTCTTATAACGTATTCTGATGCTGAAAGCTGGAACTTCTTTGCCCCATTGGTGTTTGGGACGTAAGATTCTAGAGTGCTTCTACTTAGGGTCCATACGCCCCTAAACCCTACTTGGAGGTTCATGGGTAGTTAGAAGTGGGGTTATAAGTAGGGTAACTATAGTTATAGCCCATATTAGGGGACTTACAACCCCACTTATAACTACCCATGAACCTCCAAGTAAACCCTGACGGTTTAGGGTTTAGGTGTAGGGCTCGAGGCTTGGACCCGCAGCCTCATCCATAAAAATTGGCAACCAGAGACTGAAGCTCTAAACCTAACCTCTGGCGGCGAACTATGCAGGTTTAGGGTTTTGGGTTTAGGGTTTGGCGTGTAGGGCATGAGGGTCGGAATAGTGACGAGTAGCATCCCTTTGTAGGTCCCTTGTAGTGCCCACCTGATGATCTTGTTTTGGTGTAGACCAGAACCCCTATCTATTTATGGAGGCTTCTATATTTTATCAAAAAACTCTAGACCATCAAGTAAGCCCTAAGACATCCTGACCCCACGGGACCCAATAAAAACCGGCGTTGGAAACTTAGGGTTTGTGTTTTAGGAAGGTTCAGGACTTATAGAGTTTAGGGTTTAGGGTGGGTTTAGGATTTACAGAGTTTAGGGTTGCAAGCCGCCTTGTTGTTTGGTGAAAGCCAAGGCCGTTGGGAATCGATTATTTCGATGGGTCGATGCCAAAGATGAGTGCCTGGCCGTGGGATCTGTGTTCGCGTGTATTATAGGGGCCTCCCCTAAACCCTAAACCCCTGAAAAGCGCCCTTGAGGAAACCTTTGAAGGAATTGGGTTAAAGTAGTCCCTATGTACTATAGGGGCCTGAATAGGGCTTGGGGGGTATCTTATACTATAGTTATAGTAAGGAACCCCCAACACGGCATTGGTAATAATTTAGGCACCTATATTACTTGCATCCCCAAAACAGTACAGACTAGTAGGTTGTGACCCCTTAACTCCAAAACAGTACAGTTAGTAGGTGATGACCCCTTAACCCCAAAACAGTACAGAATAGTAGCTTATGACCCCGTTAATTACAATAACCCTAAACCCTAAACTGTGACATTCTAGGGTATGGCCCCAAAACGGTAGGTTTTTGGATCCCCAGGCAGACCCTGAATTCCTGAACCCTGAGCCTTCAGTCGTCGAGCAAAAAAGTCGTTCAGTTATCCTAGTGCCTAAACCCTCAGCCCTTACAGGAATCCTTGCAGGAACCTTGAAAGGGTTTAGGGTTTAGGCCTCAAAGGAACCCTTACAGGATCTCTTTATGGAAGGGATCAGAGTCGCGTTTGGATGTGGGCTAACAGTTGGCGGTTGCGCGAGTTTTGGATTGCAGAGTTCTCAAGGCTTTGGGGATTCGCTGGGCTTGGGGTTTGGGGGTGTTCCTTTAGTGTTTGGGTTTTAGGGTTTTTGGACTGTCCTTTAGGAATCATCTTCATTTTCTTGCTATAACATAAACCCAAGCACATACGTATTGGGGCTCCAAGCCTAAACCCTAAAGCCTAAACCCTAAACCGATTCGGGTTCCGGGATTCCGGTTCAGAGGACTACCAATGCAGGATTAGTGCTTAGAGTCTCGAGTGTGCCGTGCCGGTCGGAGCAGCCAGCAAAACAAACATTCCGTGGGTAATATAGGGGTCTCAATAATTACCTCTAGTATTTGTTGGGGGGGGTTCCTTGTTATAATTATACTATAAAGGACCCCCAATCCCTATCTCAAATTTTCGAATGATTAAGACCCCTACATCAGGGCTTCCTTTAAAGGTTCTTCTAAGGATTCCGTTGATTAAGGGCTGAGGGTTTTAGGTAGTAGGGTATTTATTCAGAAGTTCTCTTGGCTATGCATCGGCCGAAAATTGCAAGGGTCGATGGCTGTGGCAGGTTCTATCCTACGAAGACCCGTGGGCCTGGGAAATTGCAGACGCGCAGCGCTTACGACTGCCGGTCGCCATCCCCAGCTGGGTTGCCAAGGGCAGCGTGCCGTGGCTGACTCGCGAGCGCTGGCAACGTTGGGACGACGCGCAGAGCAAGCCCAGCATCAGTGCCCCAAAGCGGGGTAAGCAGGTGCACAAAGCTCGGCCAACCGCCAAGGCACAGCAGTGAGCCTCCCAGAGGAACCGTGCAGTTTTCACTTTCCCCTAAACCCTAAACCCCTAAACCCTAAACCCCTAAACCCTAAGCCAGTAAACCCTAAGCCCTGAACCCTACACCTTAACATAGCACAGCATGCGCTCCACTGCAGGTTTCGGGTTCAGGGCATTGAAGCGACAAGACATATTCGAAGCGAGGGTTTAGGGTTTAGGTAGTATTATTAGGGGCACCCCTTAAAGGGTACCCCTTCTGAACCCTACTTTTGGCTCTCTTAACAGGGACCTTATTGAGAGGGTCTATATCCCCAAGGGTCCCCCTAATCCTAGCTCCCAGGGTTTAGGGTTCAGGTTGTAGGGGCATGTCAGTTGAACTGAAGCTTGCAACCTAGACTCTGCAAGCCCAAAACTTCAATCCTAAAGCCAAGCCCCAAGGCCATCGCAGGAACTCAAGACTGGAAAGCAGTGTCAGTTCCTGGAACCCCAAACCCTAAACCCTCATAAAAACCGTAGAAGAACCTCAAAGGACCCCTGAAAGGCGCCCTGGAGGAAGGCATGGAAGAAATTGGGTTAAAGTTGTCCCTATGTAGGTACTCTAGGGCATTCTAGGGCCAAAGTATCTGCTACATGGGTGCATGGACCCTGTGGTGCTTTGGCCTTACAGTGCCTGTATAGGAATCCTGCCTAAACCCTAAACCCTAAACCCTAAAACCTAAACCCTAAACCCTAAAACCTAAACCCTTAGGGTTTGGGCGATTCCAGGGTCCAGAGCCCAAGCCGTCCGAGGCACAGCCCACCTGACGTTGCCACCCATGGCTTTTCAGCTGGAGGCAGTGTCTTGGTTAGTTTAGGGTTTAGGATTTAGGGTTTAGGGTTTAGGGGTTTAGGGTTTAGGGTTTAGGGTTGAGGCCACTGAGAGTGTGGGCTCCCGTGTTGAGGGTTTAGGGCTTCAGGGTTTCAGGGTTTGAGGGCTAGGGCTTCGGGTTTGGGTTTCAGGTTTTTTGTTGGTATGTTGTTTGCCTTGCCTTCAGAACATATTGAAAACCAAAAAGCCCCTGCCTGCTAGGTTTCAAGGTGTACACGGACCCTCGTAGTTTAGGGGCTTGCGTGCAGAGCCCAAGGACGGTTATAAATGATGCATAGGTTACTGGGCTTGTACGGTTGGACTGAGCAAGAGTCTCCCTGGTGGTTCCTGTTTTGGCATTGGTTTAGCCAACTCTGTCGGCAAGGATTTTCAGGTCTTGGGTGTCGGATTCACGGTTTGGGGTTACCTATGTCTCCATTGTCGTTCCTTTCTTTGGTTATCTAACCGGTTCTAAATTTAGGATCCTTGTAGAAGGTACCCCAAAACAGGAACGACACTGCGAGACTAGAGGTGAAGGCTCATAGAGTTCTCTATTATGAAAGTGTCGGGACGGCTTGGATCTAGGTTTAAGGCGTGAGTTTCAATTTTCTCAGTCTTTCGGCGCTAGATCCCGAGGTGCGGGGGCGTCGGGATTCGGAATCTGGTCCCTAAACCCTAAACCCTAAACCCTAAACCCTAAACCCTAAACCCTAAACCCGTCTGTCTGGCATGTGGATTCTGCAGCAGCTCATGTCAAAGTCACTCGATCAGGCCTGCCTTTACTCTGCATTAAGCCGCTTCGGTCTGTAACCCCAAATCAAGCCCTCTATGAGCCCTCCCTAAACCCTAAACCCCAAACCCTAAACCCTAAACCCTAAACCCCTAAACCCCTAAACCCCTAAACCCCTAAACCCCTAAACCCAAAACCCTCAAGACCCAGAGCCACCGAATCCCAGCCGGAGTTCTGGGCTTGCCGGCGCTTTAGGGGTTTGGGGCTTAAGGCTTCGGAGGTTTAGGGTTCAGGGGTTTAGGGTTTAATTTAGGGTTTTAGGGTTTAGGGTTCAGGAGTTTAGGGTTTAGGGTTTTAGGGTTTAGGGTTCAGGGGTTTAGGGCTTACAGGGCCCAAGGTTCAGGGCTGGGAAGAGTTGGGAAAGGTTAGATCCATGCAGATCCCTCGAGTGGCTTCCTACGAAGTACCCCTTGTACTACCGGATCGCAAAATGGGAGTTTCAGCAAACAGGGGACCCTAGTATAGGACCCTAAATAGTAAGATCCTTACTATAAAGACCCCAAAATAGAGTACCCCAATTTTCGGAAACTCCCAAATTGGGGGGCGGGTCTGCATACTAGATCCTCAAGGGGATGTGAATGGGGTGCGGGGCTGAGAGTTTGCTGTTCGAAGCTTCGGGAGAATTGTGGGTTTAGGGTTCAGGGTTGATTATCTAGGGTGTTCAGGGAGTAATTGTCATCGATGCCACCGTTGACAATTTGGGGAGTGTCTCTCAAGGTACCCGCTTCCTGCGCACCCGGGGGAATTGCAGCTGGCCCAGGAAATGTCTCAAGAGTTCGGGGCTTCAGGGTTTCTTTGATACTCAGTGGGAGAACTGTGAGTTCCGTGGCCTTGTCTATCTTAAAACACTTGAACTTTTCGTGAAACCCTAAATTCCCTAAACCCCAAACCCTAAACCCCAAACCCTAAACCCTAAACCCTAAACAGCCACGGTTTAGGGTTTAGGGTTTAGGGTTAGAGGTTTGAGGTTTAGGGCTCAGCAAACCGTAGGTGCAAAGCCCGAAGAGGCGGAGCTTTGAAAAGTCGAGAGACGGCCAATCTCCCATAAGCTCCGATGTCCAGAACGCTGATTTAGGGTTTAGGGTTTTGGGGTCTAGGGTTTTAGGGTTTGGGGTTTTGGGTTTAAGGTTTGGGGTTTGGGGTTTGGGGTCTAGGGTTTTGGGTTTAGGGTTTTGGGTTTGGGGTTTCGGGTGTTGGGTTTTGGGTTTAGGGCTTCGGGTTGTACCTGGACCCCAAAAGTGCGTAGAATAGTGGCCGTTGTGTTGGGACAGTATCTTGAGCTTTGGAGTACCATACTTTAATACTTTTTTGGGACCTGTTCCTTAAAGGAACCATTATGAAATAAAAGTCTATATTTTTTTCTCCCTGGTTACTTCAAAGCCCAGTATGTCACCTACATTTGAGGGTTCAGGTTTGCTCTGATGTCTAGAACAATTATTCCCGAATCCGACAAGGCTCCAGCTCAACTCCGCAAAGCATGTAGCTCGCCCACCAAGACAAGCCTACTAACTGCAAATGGGGCCTCAATAAGTAGATTTGGGTCGCCGGGCACCTTATAGTATAAGCTGGTGTCGTTGTTTTGTTCGAAGCCGTGTGTTTCTGAACCGCAAGAGCCCCCTCCCTTAAAGGAATCCTTCTGAAATAACCAAAAGGTAGCTTTCTCTCCCTGGTTACTTCAAAGCCAAGTGAAGCAGGCTTTTAAAACCTTAAACCCTAAGCCCTAAACCTCTAAACCAACCCTAAACCCCGAAACCCTAAGGCCAAAATCCCCTAAACACTAAACCCTAAACCCCTACACCCTTAACCCTAAACCCTAAGCCCTAAACCCCTAAACACTACGCCCTCAAACCCTTAACCCTAAACCCCTAAACCATGGCTGCTCCGGAAGCCAGAACTGACTTTGGGGTTTAGGGTTGAGGTTTCAGGGTTTAGGGTTTAGAGTCTAATTGCTGCGCTTTGGTTTTGTCTCCTGTGTGCTACGAAAGGAAATTGACTTCGGTGCCCGAAAACAGTTTCTGTCACAGTCGACACAACCCGTATGGCTTACAGGTGCCAACACTTTGGACTTGCACGTTGCTTTTGATGTTGCTTTATGAACTTTAATCACAAGTAGAGGGTTCATGTCTTGTCATGGATGCTGGGAAGGCCAAGGCCAAAGCCAGGCCCGTGCCAACGCCCTGGCTTCCAAACTGTAAGTTCAAAGTGGATAGCACGGTGCCGCGACACCGCGCCAACGACTTGGTGTCCCAGCTGAAGAACGCCATTTATGATCATTTCCTTCGTGCAGAGATCAGCGCTCGACGCTACTAGGACCGGAGGTGAAGGCAATGCGAATTAACGCAGTCCTTGAAGTTATTTTCATTGTTGGTGCAGCGATTGGCTGCTTGGACACATCGACAGCATTGGAGCCGTGGCCCAAGAAGAGGCCTGTGACAGAGCCGGATCATCCACCGCCAGGATCCTGGGGCCAACTGGGAATTTATTTTACAATGATTTAACTTGGTTGAACAGTCGTCAGAGAAGTTGGCTTACATGTTGGAAGATTTCGAGCGCTGTTCCTGGTTCGCCAGACTTGGTTGAACAAGCAACAAAGTCGGAGGACTTGAAATATTTTACAATTTTCAGGGCAAGGTTGCTGTAAACTCAACTCTCAACCCTCCACCCCAAACCGCAGAGACGGTTTAGGGTTTAGGGTTTCTAGGGCACTAGGGGTCTGACAAATCAGTAAGAGTATTAGGGTTTAGGTTTTAGGGACGGGCCCTTGTAGAAACCTTGAAGAACACTCCCACTCCAAGAACCCTTGCAGACCCCTAATTAACTTATGCCACTAAACAGTTTAAACCCCAAACCCTGAACCGAACCATTAAGAACCCTAACCCCTGAACCTCGAGAACTCTTCTAGAAACCGGTATAGGGTTTGTAAAGAACCCTCCAAGAAAGCCACAAAGAACCCTAAACCCCGGATGCCCGAAAAGGACCGATGCACTCCCTAAACTGAAGCCCTCAATCCCTAAAGCTCTCAACCCCCTTCAAAGAACCCCTGAACCCGTAAGGCTTGAAACCCTAAACCCCTTATGGACCCCAAAACCCTAAACCCCAAGACTTAGTTCCTAAAGCCCTAGACAAGGCTTTAACCCTAAACCCAAACCCCTAAACCCCTTATAAACCCCAAGACCCTAAACCCTAAACCCTAAACCCTAAACCCTAAAGCCGTGAGACAAGTTAGTCTTGAACTGAAGGTCCGAGATATCGGTCCTTGTGGGGTCCTTTTATAAGGGTGCCGCACTGTTTAGGGTTTACGGGTTTAGGGGTTTAGGGTTTAGGGTTTAGGGTTGAGGGTTTAGGGTTTAGGGTTCAGGGTTTAGGGTTTACCGTACTGTTTTGGGGACCGAGAAAGGGATCCAACATTTAGAAAACTAACCGTACAGTACCCTTATCGGAACCCTACAGAAGCCGGCATAGATCCCTTTAAAGGAACCCTCAAATCCGGGACCCTAAGTTACTTTGGGGAACTACCCATATAGTACCCTTATAGAAACCCTATAGAAGCCCTCAAAGATCCCTTTAAAGGAACCCTAAAAACCGGGACTCGACTTTAGGGAACTACCCATATAGTACCCTCATAGAAACCCCAAAGAAGCCCTTATAGATCTCTTTACCTTTACTTGAACCCTAAAAACCCGGACCCGGCTTTAGGGAACTACCCAGCTAAAGGTCCAAGATGAGGGGAAGAAGGCAAACAACGGAACGAAAGACCTGCTCAAGAGGCGAATGCCCGGGAAAGGGGGTTGAGGGGAGAGTTAGTTTGGCGTCTAGGGTGTAGGTTTAGGGGTTTTAGGGTGTAGGGCGTAGGGTTTAGTCAGACTTTTTGGGCAGGGTTATTAGGGCTGTAGGGCTTAAGGTAGGGATTATATCAGTAGGGTTCTTTAAGGGATACCTAGGCTTTTAAGTCCTTGTCGTTTCGGTTGACCAATTTCTATGGCTAGGGCTTAGGGTTTAGGGTTTCGGGACCCCAAACCCCTGTTAACAAAACAGGGATCTACAATGAAGACTATAGGTAGGGTTCAGGGTTTAGGGCTGAAGAGGCGCTTGAGCTTGATATGGGGTTGTATGGGGCCCTAAACCCTAAACCCTACACCCTAAACCCTAACCCTAGGCCACGCCCTAAACCCTACACCCTATAAGCCCTAACCCTAGGCCACGGTTTAGGCGCTTAAGGCTTCTGTACGGGCTTTAGGGCTTGGTGGTTTAGGGTTTAGGGTGTTCGGGGGGACTGCAGAGGCCTATGTAGGGGTTGATGCGACTGAACACTCCTCCGACTGGCAATCCCGAACTTCGTCCTGATGTTCCGGCACCTCGTCTGACTGTGGCTGAAGAGAATACTTTTTTCACACTTTCGAAAAGTAACGTTTGAAAAGCACTTCTTTGCAGTGGCTATGGAGAAGCCTTTCCATCTGCCTCATCTGAGGGTTTAGGGTTTAGGGTTCCAACCTACTCATTGCTTTTCTGAGGCGTGACCGGGGCGCTGGACTAGAAGGCGAGGTGTCCAGCAGGACGTTTTGTTACTGAGCTGTGCCAGTCGCGCACTGGTCTCACCTGCACGACGCTTGCCGAACTTGTGGTGGGCATTCAGCACCCGCAAACTTTGCAATCGCTGACCGTCCGCACGGGCACTGCCATTTTAGTGCTTCTGCCAAATTTTAAACGGTCTTGCAATAGTGACTCCAAGGGTTGCAGGTGTTAGGGTTTTGGGCTTGAGGGTTCAGGGTTAAGGGGTTCGGGCCAGTCCGGGTTTTTGCGGTTTAAGTGGGAGGTCTCAAGGTTGAGGGGCTCAGGGGTTCAAGTGAACGACCGTCTGATGGGTTCGGGTTCAGGTGCTTCTTGGGTTAGGGTTCAGGGTATCAGCATTAGGTTTAGGGCTCATGAGGGCTTCATAAGGGTTTAGAGTTTAGGGTTTAGGGTTATGGATCAGATGCTTCTTGGGTGAGGGTTCAGGGTCTCAGCATTGTAGGTTTAGGGCTCAAGAGGGCTTCGGAAGGGTTGGGGGGGGGGGTGGAGTTATACGTGAACGTGGTTTTCGGTTTCGTTAACGTTATGCTTGAATGAACGTAGCAGCATCCATAGCATTCCCTAAACTCTAGACTTTAAGCTTCCGAATCTAAACCCCAAACCTAAGCCCTAAAAGCCCTAAACCCCTTTAGTTGCCCCAAACCCTAAGCCGCGAGATTATTTAGAGGAGCCGAGAGGCGGGCTAGCAGCGTTTTGCGGGACTATCAGGGTTAGGGTGTCGCAGGACGTTTGGCTTTTCAGGCTGGTAAGTTTTAGAAGCTAGACTTGGGGATCCAAAAACCTGCCGTTTTAAAGGTTCTACCCTCGAATTCCTAAACCCTAAACCCTAAACCCCTAAACCCAAATTACCAACGATTTTGTAGGGTTTGGGGTCACAGGGAGAGTTTGAAAAGAGTAGCTGTGCTGGATCTACTGCTGGCCGGGGCTTGGAGGGTTTCATGTTTGTAAACGCCAGGGTAAACGTAGAAGCCTAAACAATAACCCATATTAGTTTTACTGTTCCTGACTATACTTATGCTATAAGATTCATAAAAGAGCCCAGAACCCTATTCTAATCATTGAGGCCCCTATATCAAGGGTTCCGGGTGCTTTTCAGATGCTAAACCCTAAACCCTAAACCCTAAACCCTAAACCGGAGGTGGGAGGTGGGCCCCCACACCCCCAGACTCTCGGGCTGCGAAGACCCGCTTCTACAAGGCTACACGAATGTAGGGGCCTGAATCATTACCAATAGTATTTTGGGGGTTTAGGGTTTAGGGTTTAGGGCTCCTTATTATAGTTATGGTATACTGTATGCCAAAACCCTATTCTAATTATTATTTCTACATTACACAAGACTAGGCCACCCTGGGTTATGCGTTTTTGGCTTGACGGTCCAGGACACTCCGTGGGTTCAGGGTTTAGGGTTTAGGGTCTAGGGTTTAGGGTTTAGGGTTTAGGGTTTTAGGGTTTTAGGGTTTAGGGTTTAGGGCTTAGGGTTTAGGGCCAGGTGTATTTAAGGGTTCGGGGTCTAAGCCACCATACGTGTAGTTGTGTAAACTAGGGTCCCTTGTTGGGTCCCCAAAAACCTTATAAAAAGGCTCCTAAAAGGGGCTCTTAGAGAACTACCCATACACTATCCCTCAATCACCTGATGTAGTCTAACGTTTTGGTTCCTGAAGGATAAACTCCACAGTCTTCGCGTGTCGAAGGCAGCTGCAGAAGACCCAGCTATGTACGTTTTGGAAGAGGCAAGATGGGGTTTAGGGTTTAGGGGTTAGGGGGTGTGTTAAACGCGTGAAACTCCACAAAGCCTGTGTTTAGGAAACCAGCCCTGCAACCCAAGCCCAGAGCTCCCCCACCTGGACTGTTGAGGGTTTTTGGTGGGTTTTAGGTCCATGTTTCATACCCAAAGGGTCCTAGATACTGTTGCGGGGGATACTTTCCCAAATCATAATCATAATTCCTACTGTATTCTAGAAACCCTACATGCTATATATAGGTACTTATATAGGACCCTTTGGGAACGTTGGGATAAGGATAGAAGACCCCCGCACCCCTACAATTCCTCGATGCTCAACCGTTGAGGTGGAGCGCTTCTGTAAGAAGCGCTAGTAGGCCCTAGGGCCTCTGGGGTGTAGGTTTAGGGTTTAGGGTTTAGGGTTTAGGCTTTAGGGCCTCTAGGGTGTAGGGCTTTGTTAGAGTTCCCCCATCGGCCTATTTAATCTATCTGTCATTGTCTATCTGCATCTAGCAGTATCATATATACATATATATATATATATGCACACACAGGCATAGGATTATAGGCTCCGTGGCTTCCGGATTTAAAGTCACGGGCTTCGGGTTCAGGGTGTAGTAGTTACGAAGCTCCCGTCTAAACCCCGATGTTGTGAGCATCTAACCCTAAAACCTAAACCACTTTATCTTGAGCCCGAAACCACGACCCAAACCGTGAACTTGGTTCTTTATGCCCCTAATTACCCGGACCTTCCGATATCCCTGAAGTACCAGGGAACATACCTTACATTATAGTAGGATCCCAAATATGATTTGAGGTATATTCCCTAAACTCATGGATTTCGGAAGGTCTGGGTATTCACGCCCCCTCCCCTAAATCCTAAACCCTTTTTTTAAGACCAATTAACCTGCAAGCTACCCTACGACGAGCATCTAAGCCGGACCCCCCCAATGCTCTTCAAAGGAACCCTTTGAAGGAACCCTTACAGGAACCTTTTAAAGGAACCTTAATTTAAAGGAACCCTTTCAAGGGCTCTGATAACTTTTCAATAAGACGTAGTTGGAGTCTACAGTAAATAAGGTAGTTGGGGGGTCCAGGTAGAACGGATAAGACGGTGAGGCAAGAACAGTTTGAGACCTGGCCCCCCCTGCTTTAGAGTCTAAGATGTTGAAGTGGGCTGAAGCTTAAGCTTTCAGATTGGGCCCTAAACCCCAAACCCTACCAGGACCCCCCGCCTCCCTCTCGTGCCCTTACATGGGCATAAGATGTGGGTAGAAAGGGTATAGTATAGGGTAACTGGGGGGGGGTGGGGGGGCGGTGTAGGCAAAGGATGGCAAACGATTAGGTCTAATTTCAGATTCCGAAGGGGGTTTAGTGTTGAAGAGTTGAGGGTGTAGCAGCTTAGCTGCTTAAGTTTTGGGGGGTGTGGGGGCCCGCCGAAGCCTCCACGATTTGTCCAGAATCGTAGGGCCAGAATGTGTTTAGTTCTCTGAATTAGGTTCACTTTTCGGGGTCCTTTTTGTATAAGGGTGCCGTACTGTTTTGGGGACCTAAAAGGGGTCCAGATTTGGAGACCTACCCATATAGTCAATATAGTCATATAGTAACAGGCTGAACTAGTGGTAACAGTAACATAGAGGCCCTATGCAGTTGCACAGAATCCGAGCATAATTAGTCGGTCCTCTTTTGCTATGTTTGCTTGTCGAGTATGATTGTTTGGGGTACCCGGTTAGTGATATTACGGTGGATCCTAAGACCAGCAAGCAGCCAGAGACTGCAATCGAAGTCGTGTCATCACCCCTGCCAAGAAGATTGAAGAGGCAGGGCACTTCATCAAAGAACGAGCTTCAATTGGACCAGTCTTTCTGCCGGAGCCTGTGTTTCATCGTGATTGTGCACGTCATGTCGTTCCCGATCGGGGTGGTTCACCGCCCAGAAGGGGTTTCTGGAGAGAGGGGTTGCACAGGACATTGTCCCGTGGATCAAGCACTTTGGGATTGGAGCTGCAAGCTCTGAGAAACCCACCTTTGTCAACGACCCTGGGAACCTTTCAACTTTCCATGAGCATCTCTGAGGCTTTAGCCGAGCACTTTGATGGAGTTCAGGATAGCTTTCCCTCCTCATTCCCTGCGGTGGCCTCTAACCCCTATACCCAAATCCCCAATTATCACCCATCCTCAAGCCCGTTTGCTTGAATCTCAACAACACCCTAGCGGTTTGGGGTTGAGGTGTTTGCTTAGTTTTTGCGAGAAGTTTACGGTTTGTAGGTGCTTGGACTCTTAGAGAGAAAGTGCCTTCTGCTGCTGTCTGAGCACGCCAGGAATTGCTGCGCCAGGGGAACATCTTGCACCTTTGCCCACAGCGTGGAGGCCCGATTCGAACCCAAAGCCAAGCAGCTACGTGGTGTTTTCTGGAGTTTTGTGCGGTTTTGCAGTTGTGGGTGTGTGGGTGTTGGGGTTTACCCATAGGCCCCGTAGTAGTTCCTTTTTGGGGTTCATATCTAGAATCCTATAAGCTACTCCCAAAAAGGGAACTACTATGGGGCCTAGGGGTAATCACTCTTCTGGTCTAGGGCTCTGGGATTCCACCTGCATCCTAAACCCTAAACCCCTAACTCCTAAACCCTAAACCCCTAAACCCCTAAACCCCTAAACCCCTAAACCCTAAACCCCTACACCCCTAAGCCCTAAACGCCCCAAACCCTTAAACCTGAATTCCAACAGCCCCGCAGTCCAGAGACCCAAAACAAAACCTCCGAAAAGGGCCCTTGAGACTTCAAAAGTGCCCTTTTGGGAGCTAGGATTAGGGGGACCCTTGGGGATATAGACCCTCCCAATAAGGTCCCTTTTTAAGAGAGCCAAAAGTAGGGTTCAGAAGGGGGGGGTACCACTAATAATACTGCCTAACTTGAGGCTTTTTTTGCATAAGAAGCCTTCCAGGATCCCCCTAAAAGGCATCCCTTAAAAGGTTTAGGGTTTAGGGTTTAGGGTTTAGGGTCCTTAACGGCATCCTTTGGTGGGTTTAGGGTTTAGGGTTTAAGGGCTTAGGACAAGACTGGCCAGGAGCTGAAAGAGCTGCCAGACCTTCGACGAACTTCTCTGTGCAAGCAGCGGCTTTGAAAGCATTTAGGGTTCAGGGTTCAGAGTTCAGGGTTTAGGGTTCAGGGTTTAGGGTTGAGGGTTTAGGGTTTAGGGTTTAGGGTTGAGGGTTTACGGTTTAGGGTTCGTGTTGAGGGTTTAGGGTTCAGGGTTTAGGGTTCAGGGTTCAGGCTAGAGGGTTCAGGGTTCAGGGTTCAGGGTTGAGGGTTTGGGGTAAGAAGATCTCCATAAGGGTTCTATAGGAAGGGGGTTTACCCATAGTCTCCATGTTTAGCTCTCTCTTAGTCTTTGGTGAATAGAATTTATGTTCGGTTCCCATCGTGTAAAAATTGGCGAACCAGGCCAAGAACCCCCAAGGGTCCAAAGGACCCAACAAAAATTTGGTACTTAGGTTTCGGATAGTAGTTATGTAGGTTACTATTTGGGAGAGTATATGATTCTTATGTACTTGGGCCCTTAGGACTTCAGGCCAGGACTTCAGTGTTTTTAGGGTTTAGGGTTTCAGGGTTTAGGGTTTAGGGTTCAGGGTTTAGGGTTTAGGGTTTAGGGTTTAGGGTTTAGGGTTTAGGGTAGTGCTTTTGTTTGGAGGGGGGGAGGGTGTTTGGATTTCAGGACACTGGTTCAGGGGATGATGGCTTCGGCGTTTAGGGTTGCAGCGTTTAGAACTTCGGATCTGGCTAGAGTTTTAGAAGTTTGGGTTGCCAGGGTTGGGGCTGTCGAGCTTGAGGACTCTGGGGGAATGTAGGGGCCTTAATAATTCGAATAGGGTTCTGGGGATTCCTTATTATAACTACAGTATAATACACCCCCAAGCCCTGTTCTAATTATTCAGGCCCTTATAAGTTACAGTATGGGGGTGTAAGGCTTGCGATCGCCATCCGAGTATCGTGTAATTGCGTACTTGGTTGAACTGTTCATTATACTTGGATACTTGGACCCGAGCGGTAAGACCGGTGGGTGTTGCAAACTCCGGGTTTTGGAGTTGAGGGTATTTCTTTGAATCGGGGTTCAGTCGGATGGCTGTTGCGATTGTAAACGCCGCTATATTACCTATATAGTCGAATGTAGGGTTTCTAAAATAGGAGCTATACTATGATGATTTGGGAAGGTACTTGGAGCTTCATGGGTGTTATAAGTAGGGTTGTAAGTAGGACAACTGTAGCTCTAACCTATATCAGTTGACTTAGAACTCCACTTATAACTACCCATGAACCTCCAAGTCTCCCCCCCAGAACAGTACCTAGGACCCTTTGCTTGGAGATTCCAAAACCGAAAGCCAAACCGCAAGCCGACAATCCGAACCCGCGAGCCGGAAGCTTAAACCCTAAACCCTAAACCCTAAACTCTAAACCCTAAACCCTAAACCCTAAACCCTAAACCCTAAAAGCTTAAGCTTCAGAGCCCAGGAGGCCTAGTGCCGAGAATGCTTCGCACTTCCCATCCGAATCGTTCGAACCCGAAACCCTAAAGCCATGAACAAAGCCCGAAACTCCTCAACCCGAAACCTTGGCACAGGGTTTAGGGTTTCGGGTTAAGGTTTTAGGGTTTTGAGGGTTTTAGGGTTTTAGGGTTTTAGGGTTTAGGGTTTAGTAACCCTAAACCCTAAACCCTGAACCCTATTTAGGGCTGACAGATGTTTGCAGGTGGTTGAAGGGACGCTGTCCTCAATCTGCAGAGAGCTGCAGGCCCAGGGCCCGGAGGGGGTAGGGTTGCTTTTGGGGGTTTAGGGTTTAGGGTTTAGGGGGCAGGGTTGCTTCTCGGGTTTGGGGTTTAGGGCCTGGAAATCAGGAGTTTTAGGGTTTAGGGTTGTTGATGGCTGCTATGTCACGGCCTGAGCACTTTCAACAGGACTTGGTGGTATATCAAACTGTAGTCGTTTTACATAAAAAGGGCCAGGATGAGGGTTTAGGATAATTAGGCTTGTTGGTCTCTAGCGTTCCATAGGGGAATTACCAAAGCCCTTTTGGTAGATTCGTATAAATCGTCCAAACGCGTTGTATCAGATTTGGGTGTGCCAATTCTGTTTAGGTCTGGGTTTGGGCGTGTAGGGTTGAGGTTTAAGGGTTTAGGGTTTAGGGTTTAGGGTTTAGGGTTTAGGTTTCAGGCATAGTGTTGTGGGGCGTTCAGGGCTCAGTTTGTAGTGTGAGTCCGCGTTGCAGGGACGTGGTTTTGTTGAGCCTTATTCGGCTTTACTATAGGAGTCGGAGTTCCATAAATCGATTAGTATATATTCGCCCCTTCCAGTCCATAATGTACCCGGAAAGCTTAAGCCCCAAACCCCGAACCCTAAACCGAAACCCCAAACCCATAAAGCCCTTTGAGATTTGTCCGGTCCACTGTTCAATGGCTTTCGAAACCCCAGTCGCAATGTTTTGAAACCTAAGCAAAGCCATAAACCCTAAACACTAACCCTAAACCCTGAACCCNNCCTGAAGACGAGTTACTACACAAAATAAGGCCATGCACCCTCAACGCTGCCTTTGTAGAGCTGTATATACCATAGATCCCGCAAGCACCTGCAGTTTGTTCGTGGCAGGTACGCGCATGGATGCATGGCTGCAGACAGGGGTTGAAGTTTATTATGAAGTTTATTATTAGGCGACAGCACGGTTGAGGGTTCAGGTTTTTCGTTCCGCCGGGGGGGGGGGGGGGGGGG